ATGATGAAAAAGGGGTCCCTATGTCCTCCAGCAGTCTAAGCCTATAGCAGCATAATTTAACTTCAGAGCCATTTGCTGAGTTTTCCCAGAAGCAGACCTAAAAAGGTGAGTCAGCATTTAGTTCCTCTGCCCTGAAACAAACCGAGATGTTCAGAAACTTCAGGACTCAAAACATGAAGCTTTACTTTGAAGCTTTTTAGGTGATTCTTAATTTTCCACGATAAGTAGATAAGTTCTGCTCCATGCAGGAGAAAGAGAGCATGGCCTCCATTTATTGAACATCCTGGTGTGTTTAGGGTCTGTTAGGGTTAGGGTTATTACACTGGAACCAGTCTGCCCCTTTCCCCTTAATAATGGTGATATTTTCCCACCCTTTAGTCCAGCTAAGCCTCCATTCCATCTTTGGGACTTTTCTAGATTTAAAAGCATCCTGGATACAAAGGATCCGGCAAACAGAAGCACCAGTCATTTCATCAGGAAGCTGGATTAAACGTTTATTGCTGTTATTATAAAAAAGCTCTGTCACTGATTTGGACCTAAACAGAGGAGGTGGATAGAATGATGCCTTGAGAAAAAGCCCAGATTATAAAGATTTTCAGAGATGATCAGGAGAATGAAGCTATGTGAGGATCAATAATCCATGATGCCGTCAGAACGTCCTCAGTCTCAGACCCCCAAATGCTGAGGCTTCATGTTAAAGCAGCGAGAGGCTTCAGACAGAGAGCTCAGACTAATACCTGGAGCCTGGAATGATAACAGCCTGTAGTTTTATTAAAGATCAGATGAGATATGAAGGGGCTCTGTGCAGCTGCCTGCTGGCGTCACTCTGGTCCTCAACAACAGGAACATTAAGGAGCCTTGATGAGTGGAAAGAAAGCAAAACAAAATTCAGTTTGATCATATGCTAACTGGACTGGTACCAGCACAGTGCTGGGAGGAAACCAGTATGCATCAGTTTTCACAGCTGATAATGTTCAGCTTATGGTGAATATTCATTAACACTGTGACATCAACACCTTTGTTTCTAGATGTTGGAGCTTGGCCTGTTTTCCAGTGTAGTCCTGTTTCTCTCCTGGACTTAGACATCTTTCTTTGTCATTTTGTATACACAGGGTTTATACAACACAAAATGTCGTTTAGTACATCATTTCTACTCCATGACATAGCTATAGGCTCTGACATGACATGAAAACTGGCTCAAAGCTCAAAGGTCTAGGAGATAGTTTACTGTTATTTTTCTAACAGAAACTATTCATAGATCAGTGCTTCTATGTTTGTTTTGTGTGACCGCTGACCCAATGCAAGCAAAAACAGATTTACTATTGCTGCCTGCCTATCCAGTAGGAGTGGATCCTCTGTGACTGGATGTAATCAGCTGGTTCTCCTCAGAGAGAAAACTTTGAACCAATCAGGTTTGATTATCTGACTGAATTGACTCTTTCAGATTTGGTCCATTTTTCTGTGTTGCTCAGGGTCTCTAACAGTGCCATGATGACCTGTAGCTGGTAGGTAGAGTTTTTAAAGAGAGGACTTAGACACCATTACAATCATCTATCCTAGTAATGAACGAATGTGATGTTTCCCTTTACTGCTTTAACAGAAAACTTAAATGTTTTAAGTTGCCAATTGGCGTATTTTACCAATAGACTACGTTTTAATTAAAATTAAACTCTGAGTGTGTAACAGTGACCTGGACTCTTGGATGTTGTGGTTTTAGCCTCTTTTAGCCTAGTTAACTGCTGACTAAAGCCGGGCTTACACTGTGTGATACTTTCAATCGTTGCACGCAGCTACAGCTCAAACTGTACGTCTAAAACCACCAATCGGACTCAGAACCGAGAGATGATGCTGGTCTGACTCGTCAATCTAGATAAAGAAGAAGAACTCCCTGGTTTGCACTGCTCGGTGTGGGAGGTTCTGGTAAATCGGCTCGTAGCTCTGCTACAAAACCCGGATTTATCCACGACCACCTTACGATGGCCGACTGAATTTCAAACATGTTTGATTTTCTCCCGACGTTACAATTCCTGATGAGGAGGAGGTCATGAGAGGCTGATCGCCCCGCGTTACCCTGAGTACGCTACACAACGCAGGACGCACCATTTTGAGAACAAAAACTAATTTTGGATTTTTCAGATAAAGCTAAGGACACATGAACTCAGTGTTTGTTGAGGTGTCACAGATATAAAGCCGCATGTCATCAGCATAAGAACAGAGGGAAAATCATGCAGCCTTCAGGAAGATGTCGGCATCC